CAAGTCTTGGTTCTATGAAGCCAGTGAACAACAGTCTTCAGGGACTTTATACCTCATTAGACAAGTAAGTATACAAATCACACATTTCTTACTAGTCATTCTAATATTATGAAATACTAACAAATCAGAAAATCCAGAAGGAGTATTGCATTAAGCATTTCTCTAGAAGACAAAAAAGGGATTCTCTCTATGGATGTATGCTCCAATAACTGTAAAACTCTTATTTGGTGTTGGTGTAAAGAGAGGATTGTTTTCAAATGCAATAAACACAATAAGTATCTCTTTCAGTATTGTGTTCCCCTTCAAAATACAAACTGATTAGCAACCCTGAAGCGCAGCAGCACATATGACTTGGCTTATGCTTAAAGTGCACTGGAGGTGGTGTACAGACAATCTCTATTGGTCAGAGTCACCAGAGCAACACTACTCAGCCTTGTAGTCAAGCTGCAGACGAATAGGAGAGACTGGACAGGAACAGAGTACTGGAATACACACTAAGCTACTAAACCATAAAAAACACCCAACCCTCCCTCACATATTCTTTTGAGCCTAGAGTTAAAGCATCAGGAATTTTTTTGCAGGCATTCATTGTTGCTCATATGGTCATCAAATGGCAAGGCCAACAATAACACTAACAGTTCAAATGTGGCACATCAGATTATGAAGCCAAAAAACCTTCCCACTTTGATCTGTAAGTACCCTTAAAAGGTCATCCCTGGTTATAAAGAATGAATGCCACATGCCTGTAGTAGTATATGACAAAACAGAAAATTCAGAAGACAGGTAGCAAGAAATCAGCACCTTCAAGCAAAAGAGGCTGGAAATTACTAGATTGCTAAACAACACTGTGCACATCACCTTACACTACTCATCTGATATGCATGTTACCCATGCTTTTATTAGAAAAGATTCAAGAAAAAAGGAAAGAGGCAGCTAGGAGTAAAATGACAACTCAGCACTTAGCAAGAGACTATTGCTTCAGTAAATTAGAAGTCACTGTCTCCAAAACAAACTTGCAAGTATTTAAAAATATTGTGAAATACTCTCTTGCAATGCACCTGTGTAACCATAACACAAGTGGGGATTTTCCAAGAGACAGGAAAGTGCAGTAGCCATAGCTATCAGCACCACGTGGGACAATACAAATATTCAAACACTAGTTAACATGATTACATAGAAAATTAATTTTCAGTACCTTCATTAGTCAAATAGTCTCTGCTTTATAATTTCTCCAAGGCGAAGGAGGACTTACACAAGAACAACATTAGAAATTTTAGACCTCCTGAATTACTTTGTCTTACAAGTAGTAAGAAAATTGGACACTATTATAGCACCTTAAGTCAATAACTTTGAAGTGATTCAGTAAGCTGCAGTATTTCCTGCATCTCAGCCTACACAATGCAACTTTGAATTTAATACTTTAAGTCTCTAATTCAGTAGAATCTATAATCAAATACATAACAGCATAAGTCAAAACATGAACACCAATAGCCTATGGGTAGGCTGGCTTTAATAGATGGCTGGTAAATACATTACTGTGTGATACAGTCTTAATGGGCTGGTGGTTCACAACACCAATGTTAGGAGCTCAGGCATAACCCCTATAGTCAAGCCTGCAGTGATCATACTTGGAGAAACAATAACAAAAAATTACCTAAGGAAATTTCAAATACCACAGTCAGTTGTAGTGCTAACAATTAGCAGAAAAAAACCACTTTTTAATTGCAAACTAAGCAAAACAGAAGCAGTGCTGAAGACATGGAACCCTGCGATATTTTTATGGGATCATTCCTCTGTATAAACCTAGGCAGACTTGAAGTTCATAAAGAGTTGAAGTATGGATGAAGCATACTAAGTAGCCCTGCTTACCATTTTGAACATATAAAGTCTACTTTTATTTCCTGGCTTTTCAACAGTTACTTCAGTTTAAAAAAAAAAATTTTTCCCCATCTCAAATAATGAAAATCTATTTACTAGCTTAACTCAAGCTAAAAAGTTGGGTTGCAGAAATTTAATATTTTAAGAAACTCAGATATTCTTATTCTTTAAAGGTGATAAATTATAAATAATGATAATTGATATTTATCATTTGATCATATCATATATACATATCATTTGATATTTATATTTTTAATGATAAATTATATTTATCTGTCAAGTAAATGAAAGTGAAAGCAAATATTCTAGTAACTTTCACCAACTTGTCCACAGCTGTCAACCCCTCGTAATAAAAGGAACGTAACATTTTACAAGGCATACGCAGCATTTTGTGGGTTATTTGCTTCAAGAATCTTTCTTCCATGAAGAACAGTCCTTCTGCTCACAGGAAGTCAAGGAGTCCCCTTGACATTAAAACAATGTCATAAACAGTAACTACTATACATTAACAGAACCAGAATATAAACTTCTAACTAAATAAGGGACAGACTTCTATAACAATGATTAGAACTGAACTTCCAGTTCAGTGATCAGAGTTACATAGATCTGCAGGTAAAACCCAGAATAAGAGAAACTCTCAACATTTGCCTGTAGTTCAAGTTTCTGATCATAAGCTTTTACAGGAAATTTTCAATTTCCTGACAGAGAACACTCAGGTTTTAACAGAAGGCAAAAAAGTATAGTTCAACAGCTTAAAAATACATCACTCAGAGTACAGAAATACCTCACCAAAAATGCTGTAAGTAACCACTTATCTTTGATTCTGGTTTTCCCTGCGTGTTTCTGAAAACGTGATAGAAATCAAGCAGTTTATGCTGGAATTTAATGCCAAAGGTTGTAGTATGTTATCATTATTTATATAGTGGTATTGCAAGAAGGAAATACAGCATTTCATAGTATTGCAAGAGGAAAAAATCAATTCATAAAGAATAAGGAGGAGCACACACTAGAAACACAAGTTACTTGGCTAGAATTCTCCGAGGCACTTGAACAGACTATCAAGATTACAGGATAAAGTATATGACTGCCTTTGAGGCAATAAATACCCCTGCCCCAAGGGGATTTACATAAAATAGCTTCTAATCCAGCAAGCCAGAGCCACACATTAGAAGTAATAGACATTATGCCAATAAGAAAATACAGATGAACATACATGATCTGTAGAGACAACTGCTTTCAGAATGCTCCATTTACTTTGTAAGTATTATTGCAATAGAAGTGGAAAGGATGTGAAAGTAATTAACTGACATAAATCATATTTAAGGAACTTCAATCTCTCAGCAGTATAGAATTAACAACTCTATGCTTATTAAACTACTTAATATTTATGTTACAGTAGTGCCCAGAGGCCCCAGCTGAGACTGAGGCATCTCTTGAGTGGAGTATTAGAAAATCATTATCGCATTGGAGTCAAAGAATTCCCTTTCAAATTTTTTTTTTTTTTAAAAAGAAAACATACTTTGTTTAAGCCAAATTACTACCTCTATAGGCTTTACTACAGTTTTTGCTGTCTAGCTCATCTTTATTTTTAACATCAGAACGAAGTAAAAGCATACTGCATACTTTTAAACAGAAAGCCAGATGAAGCATAGTTTGAAACATGTATGCCCTAGATTTCTCCCTGCCTTTCAGACCATTGGGTCTAGACACACAGACATTCCTTCATTTATCAGGACCTGTATAAAGAGGTTTGTATAACTAGACTGCTGTCTCTCCACCCTCTACAGAACAAAACCCCAGACTAAACCCTAGCATTAGTAAGTCTGTGGGAATTCTGAATCCAACTAGCAAAATTATCTGGGACAAATGAGTAGGCTCTCAAAATTGTCACTAAGATCAAACTACTGAGTGTTAAAGTTCACATGGAACAGGCAGAATCTGCATAAACATCTTACAGGCATTATTGAAACAGATGGTTCAGTAATGAGTTTCCAAGCAAATAATTGTATATACAAATATTAGTACAATCTGCTGTTGTAAAAATCAATGCCTTTTTCAAATTTTTTCTGACACAAATTTTTTTTTCCAAACTTCAAAAGCTGTACTGTCATATCCTGCATAATTAACTTCTGGTTTATACTAACTGGCCCACTGAGACTATTCGTTGTATTTTACTTGTAAGACCTGTTGGATGAAAGCCAGCACAACTCTCTCCAGAGAGTCTAAAAAATTTTAAAATTATAAATTATTAAAAAATCATTAGGTAACCATTAGTACCAAAACACAAACATCCCTTAGATTACTCTGCGTAAGTCAGTAAAGCTAGTTAGTCAGATGTTGCATTTTTATCTGTTATGAGATAAAACACATGACTTATGATCAAGTATTCAACAATTCAGTGTATGTTGGCACAGCAGCCAGAAGCCTGATGTGGATCAGAAATAATCTACCTGACAAGGACACTCCTACTGCATCCCATATGGTCACAGCCACTGGGCAGCCAGCACCTACCACAGCTCTGGTGGCACACAGTACAGGCGTAAGCTGGATTGTAAAAACACTAGCTGAACTTTTCTGTAGTTTGCATTATTTCAGTGACAGACTCAGCAGAAGTTATCAATGTGTTATAATTTCTCTACACTCGAACCCCCGTCCAACCAGTTTTTCCCTGACCTGTTTTATGTGTATTTGACAAAGAGTTTTGGTCTGTTGCAGTGCAATCCTGAGCAATTTAAATGGTTCCTTAATTTCCACAGTTTAACATTGGAGATTTTCAGTGAGATTCTGTATTGTCCTCTCTCAGGGAAGGATCTCACCAGATTGCAAAGCTTCACTTTTCATTCTTTTAAAGAAGAAACTACTCTACTGGAGGTACGGGACGCCATGTGCTACCTTTGCTCAAGAAAGCCAGATATCTAAAGCACAGTAGAGCAATTCTAGAATTAACAGTATGTCCATTAATGAAATGAGTATTTTACAGAACAAATAAAAAACACTTTGAATTTTCCTTTTACAATTCACCTTATTATCGCACAACTCAGAACTGTTTGTTAGGATCTACAAGCAAATTCCACAACTGGAAATTAATCTGAAAAAAGTAAAAACTTTAACAAGTTACTTACTGTAAATTTGCTACTTTTACTGATACAGGAATGTGGGGAAGTTGACTGGCCCATTTCAGAGTAACATCTTGATAAACATTCAACATTTTACTATGGTTTCCAACCAGAGTGTTTATTGTTCCTTCTTTCACTGTTAAAGATAGAAAAACAGTTTTAGGATGAAAATTTTTCAAAAAACAGTACTTTCCTTTGAGGCTTATATCATTACACTATTTTTTTTTTCCTTTTAAGCCATTATTTGTTATAAATGAGTTTAGTATGATTAAAGTGCCAAAAGTTATGAAAGATAACCAAGATATATGTGATTAATTATGGATACCAATTTCAATTGGGTACTACACAACACATGCCACAACCTTCCAAGGTTCTAGCCAGCCATGTCTGGTAACTTAAAACATGACTAATAAAGACTTATAATTGCCATGTTAGCCCACCAGGTTAGATATGACAAAATACACATTGGTTAAATATCAGCTACTTATACTCTTCATTAATTCATTGACTTGTGAATACTGACTAAAGGTGTATGCATTTATAGGTTTTATTTATAGTATAAATCAGAACATACAAAATGTGAAGATTGTCAAGATCATATTTATAAAGTCTAAAATGGTATTTTGTTTAAAGTAAGACATGGTGTCAAAAATTTATCAGATAGTTAAAAAAATCAAATAAAGATTACTGTTAGGAGATGAAACTAATTTATTACATTGTATGGAAGCACCTTGGTTGGATGCCACTATAGAACTACAGATTCTCAATACCTATTCTGTATTAATGTTTCAAAAACTATCAGTAAATGACAGAGGGTCCTCAAACACTAGTTTACTCTTCCAAAATCTCTCATTCTTCCACGTTTGTTGTTTTGGTAGCCTGGGCAAACTTACGCAAACACTGGACAAGTACCTCAATTCAGTGATAATAAAATACCTATTTAGATTCTAAAAATTACGCACTTCACACTAAGTAACATTTGAAAATAAACCTGCTTCATCAAAAAAGAGAGCTCTGAAATGCACAGATTTTCTACAAATCAACAGCTTATTCAGAAATACATATTTCTTCAGTGGAAAAAAGAAAATTCTTAGCTGTAAAAGTAACCAAGCTAAAGTTAAGTTAAATTTTCCTTTTACAAACCTGAACAATAAGGAATGAAGCAACTTGGACTGTAATCAAGCTTTTTCATGAATCGAATTTGCCCATTATCCTTAAGGCAAAAGAAGTTTCTCTCACCAAGCACAAAAACAGAAGAAACTGCCTGATTAAAGGAGACAACGCATATATCCAGTGCTTGCTCTCCGATGTTTAAAACCCAATCCACCTTCAAAAGAAAAAACATGCTCCAGAGATCAGTTGACAGCTGCATAATGAAGACAAAACTTATTGAGAAGGCTTAGAAGTCATCAAGTTACATGAATATTATTAACATAAAAAAACAAAATCAAGGGGTTTTTTTCAATGACAAAATATTAGTCATCCTCTTCTTTCAAAGGCAGTTGGTGACCATCCTTATTGTGAGTAAAGCAGCAAAAACATCATCCACTTTTTGAAATAGTCATGAATTGATGGCCATGCAGTTCACTAAAGTATATTTAAAATACACATCCCATTCAAAATGAAAATGCTTTCTACTTTAACTATAAAAACCCAAGAACAGAGTACTAGAATCACTTAAATCTGCCTCTGTACATGTCCTTACATATTAGGTGAAAGGTTAGAGAGCAAAAGGTGCTAACTTATTCTACCAATACACATAAATGGAAAAACAGATAAAGCTTTAGGCGTGTAAGCCAATATTCATGCTTGCAGTCACTTACGTACACTCTTCAATCTGAAGAATGTTTGTGTATAGGATAGCTCATCTACTTTTCCAGCTACATACATTGATATAATAAGCTACTTACAAATCCCACCTTGCCCATATCCTTACATTTTTAAACAATATTACTGCTTATTGATATATTTCATTACTTTATTATTTCAGCTCCTCAGACATTTCAAATAATTTACACATGCAAAAATTGCTTTTGACTGCTGCCAAGCTGGTTAAACAGAAATTCAGGATTTCTGAAGTCAAAAAATATGAAAGTTCAACTGTCAGCACTTCCTATATGAACAGCATCAATTGTTTTGCAAAAAGAACAGAACGTGTTAGCAAACATATTGGCATATCTGATATATGAAGCTGGAAGTGCTATCTTAAAAATCAAAGGGAAAAAAAGCCAGGGTTACTACATTCGTCTCCATGTATGCTCCTCATTTCAGATTTAAAAAAATGTATTTAATTTGCAGCATATCTGATGAAGCTTCCAAATTTCTTATTTAAAAAACTATGTCTTCTCCTAATTCAAAATGTAGGATTCTCACTGACTTACAGTTTGAAAAAATTCTACAATTAGCCACTGGAAGGAAGGTGTTCTCCCAATATTTTATACTGTCATACCTGAGATATGCTGAATCTAGCACTTTACGCAGTGTATTTAGCAGACAAGCAATTCTACTGCAGGACCACAGATAATGAAATTCTCTTCCTCTTAATAGGAGGCAGCTCAAATATTAAACAACTTAGTCACAGGGAGCTCCTGAAGATCACTGAATCCACAGATTTTTGACAAAAAGAGTCCAGGATACTGACTATTTATGGAAACATTTTTCACTGCTGAGTTTCCCTAAGTATAAAGGATTCCCAAAGTAGAATGAGGTTGATTTAAGTCCAATACAAAGTCACAAATAGACTTAAATGAAAAACATGAGAAATATTTCAGGTGTACCTATTTATCTATTTTACTACAGTTTAGGTTTTGTATTACAAATACTGCCTTAGAAATAGGGGTTTTTTTCCTCCTTAGAAAAACAGTGAGTTTTAAGGCCCAATCTTAAATAACTGAGGCCCAAAGAAATCTTAATGGAAATCTACTGGAGTCTTTCCATTGCCTTTAATGGCAATTGGATCAAGTCCTTTGTCAGCAGACAATGTTTCCATTCGTTACTTAGTATTGGTCTTTTTAACATGTATGCAGTGTACCATACAGGTTATGTAAAATAAACAGGTTTTACCGCAAGTCTTTTTCCAGAACTAAGTTTTTGCTGTTCTGTTTCTTGTCTTTCATCAGCATCTGTTGCAAATGCCAGCACTTGGTATCTGTTACAGGAAGTTTAAAAAATTAAAAAAATAAAATCTATCTTTGTAGTTAATACCCTTACATTAAGTAAAAAATAAAATGTAATTATCATATTATGAGTATACATACACAGTAAAAGCACACTGTAAAAGGATTGTTAGAAAGCCTACTGCAACACATCTATCATCAGCAAAGATGTTAAAATAAATATCACTGTAGGACAACAGCTAAGTGTCAAGGCAGAAATCAAAACAAACATTTCTATTCAGATTTTATGTGGTGTTAAAATAAATTTAACAGCTAAATATATTAGAGGACAGAAATCTAGACCACAAAGACAACAGAAGCAAGAAACCAACGCATTTTCAAATTGTGAAATTCTAATAAAAAGTAAACTTTTTTACTCTTAAGCTTTAAAAAAAAACCTCCTAAACTACCCTGAAATACAATCTGCTATATATAATAGTTACACTCTCAAGCACATCCATTACATAAACTAAGTGGTTCTAATCCAAGAGGTAACAGTAAACTGGTACCAGTAAGTGGCATATCTAGCAAAAGATGGGAGGTTTGTGGGTTTGAGGGTTTTTTTTTTTATTATTTTGTAACTGCCAACCATACTAAGACAAATTGGCAATGAAGACATTAGAACAAAAGATGGCAACTACCATAAGTGCTCCACACATCTACCTGTCCTCTAACACATATGCAATCCTCAATGTTCAAACCGTGTCCTCGTTGACTCTTCTGTAACTATTTCTTTCCTGAATTTGTGCTGGTGTCCTAACTTACTGAACTAGCCTGTTTCCAATGTATGCACATCAGGTAATCTGTAAAATACTGAAGTTTTCTAGAAATAAACAACAACAAAACCCAAACAAACATCTAAAAGAAAGCATTCAATTCTGGAAGTCATAGAGTGCCATCAGCTCCTAAGTGCAAACCAACACAGTTCTGAATGTTCCAATTCAAGTCTAAGAAATAAAAGTACATGTTTTTGTATACTGTCAAAGTTACAGATTTAAAATGACGACACCAGCAGCCCTCACATTTCAGATGCATGTATTGTGGTGCTTGTTATTAAAGAATTTTAGTTTCCAAAATTATTTTACTTACAGAAGTAAATTTTGTACTTGGAGTAAGAAATTTAATTGCTTAAGGTGAATGCTATGACCTAGTTAAAAATACTAAATAAGCTGCTTTTAGTACAATAACCATGTCTTTAAGTGTCCTCTATATAAACAAATTCACTTCTCTTTTTCAGTTTAACACATTTATAAGAGAAGTTGCAGTCCCTGACCTAATAAAATTTTCTTTTTTTTTTAAACCACATTTTATTGATAGTCTTGGCTAGCACATTATCATTTTATTAACTAATCAGGGACTAACACATAGTTTTCAAACCAAACTCCCACTGAACAGCAATAGGTATTGATGTTCAAGTACCAACTACCTGCATACAAGTCTTTCATCACAAAAAACTCAAGCCACAGATGACCAACACAAACTTCCAATTCAGCTATCACATCAAGCATACAATCATTTAAATAAGAGGCATTTTGCTTTTAGATCTTGAAAGAATTCAGAATCAACACAGGAAATATTGCTTTCAAATTAAGGCATTGGTCTGCATGAGCTATAGGAAAATAGTTCGAAGTTTGGCAACTTGTTCTGCTAAAAACACTAGATAGAACTTCTATATTTTTCATTTACTATAAGAAAAACACATTTAATACAACCATAAAAATAACCTCTTCTCTCCCTACCATGTCTATTTCCTTCACTTTAGGAGGATTACTTTATTCTAATGTCCTAACAGTTCAGACATACACTAGAGATTAGTACCACAGTGTCTTAACACTTGGCACTAAAGACCAATAACCAGAATCCAGGTGAAGAATTCCTTTAAAATGACACCTTCCTACAATAAAGACAGCACACTTGTGAATCAGCGACAGACTGAGGAAAAATTCTAGCCACATTTGTTGTAAAAGTCAAGAATCTAAACATAAGATTGAGATATTAGTTTTAAAGAAAAAATATTTCTTTATTCCTTACCAATATTAATAAATTCTATTCCAACTTATTTCTTAGGAAAAATATGAATTTTCTATTAAACTACTTTTACTTGCAACACATATCTCCTCCTGTTCAGTAGTGGGTCAATTTCCTGGATCTACCTTTTTACATCTGAGGTACCTTGTGGAAGTCCTTGGTTCTTCAGACCTTCTGCCAGTAAGAGTTTTAACCAAGCTTGTATCTTCTCAATCCCATCCCCTGCATGCCCACATGATGTTTTATATTCCTCCACAGTAGTCCATTTCAACTTCCATCTCATATATTTCCTTTGTTTCATTTAAACTCAGTCAGGAGCTACCTAGCCTTCTGCTACTTCTTATTTTCTTGAACATTGAAATGGATTGTTCTTGGTCTTTGAGAAGATTATCCATGAATATTCACCATCTCTCCTGAGCCCTTTTGCCCTTCAGGGCAGCCTCTCACAGGGTCCTGCCCACCAGTTCCTTGAACAAGCCCAAGTCTGTTCTCTTGAAATCTACAGTCTTATTCCACTGCTTATCTTCCTGACTTCTCTCAGGATCTTAATCTACATCATCTCATGGTCACTGCAGCTAATGTCCGCAACACTCAAAAGGCAGATGCCGACTATTCTCCAAACATTTCTTTCTTTTGAGTTGTGGATTCAGCAAAGCATCTTCCCTAGCCAGGCTGTCTAGCACCTGCATCAAAAGTTTTCCCTAATTCACCTCAGAAACCTTCTCCTTTGCTGAAGTCCATAATGTTGCTCTCCTAGCAGGCATTAGTCCTCCATGAGAACAAAGGCCTGCAGTTAGGAATCTTCTTGTTTAAAAAAGGCTTCATAGCAGACAATCATCACAACATCCTGTTCCTCAAGCATCCATCGGATGCTAAACAGATAAACTCTCAACATGGTGGTACTGTAAGAGAGCCCCATGTATTCAAGCTGCTCCTCCATGGTGAACACAAATCCCCCCCTTGTCTGTCTTTTCTTCCTGAAGATCCTGGAGTCATCAGTTACAGCACCTTAGTCATGCAAGCTACCCTGTCATAACTCTAACTGCACACACAACTTCTAGTTCCTCCTCTTTGCTGCCAAGGCTGTAGGCATTTGTGAATACACACTTAATATGGGCCCTCACTCATCCCACTTCCTCCTAAGGCATTATGAAAGCATCCCCCTTTGTGCACTTGACACTTATACCCTATACCATCACTTACATGCTGGATTTAGCACCCATCCCTCAGTCTAGCAGTCAAGGAGGTTAACAAGCTTTGTCAGGTGGAGGATTCCATCTCTCCCCACCAGCCCTCATTCCTTTGAGAGGATCCTATGATCACAAAAGTCAAAGCCCTGTCTCAAAACTGTTCAGTTTTCTCTTCTGAAAACTGAAGAGATTCATCAGACTAACACCTATTTGCATCAAAATAAAAATCCCATTGAAACAACTGGAAGGAACATCTTGCTCAAGCACTGTAGTGCAGACAACACTGAAAGCACAGATTAGACTGAACCAAAGCAGGGAAAAACCTGGCACTTGCAGGACAACGTGATGTGCCTTGATAAGCTAGTAAACTTAACACATTTATACAAATAAAATAGGACCATAAAGTCCTCAGGATGCACAGTATGCTTTCTTCTATGACTGTACAGAGACAGTAATCACTGAACAACATAGAGCATTTTATTTTTCTTCTTCTCTGCAACTACCTATCACCTGCTTTGGTATACAACATTAGCAAAGGCAATAAAAATTAGACATGATTACTTTTGTTTACATTCTAAATGACAGCACCAAAATATGCTATAAGTACTGAACACAAACACATACTTGTAACTCTCAACCTGTCGACAAGAAGACACTGTAATGAAAGAATCTGTCCGAGAGCTGTAAGTCAAGGGACCAGGCAGAAGAAAACCAGGTAAAAAACGGCCAAAAGCATAGCTTTCCTGTTCAAACAACATGAGCATCCCATCCATGGACTGTATGCATATCAAATCCCGACCTAAGGAAAGCAAAAGAAAGAAATACAAAGGAAACAAAGCAAAGTTATTTATATAGTTTTAATCGTAAAATTGTTAGTAAATTTAAATTGTGCTCATAAGTAATCCTAACAAAAATAAGAATAATTTTAATTTACATGAGTGTTTACTATGAGGAAGAACACTAGATATTCCAACCTCAATAAAAGCTTACTTACTAAAATAAACAAACTAGATTTTAGGGGGAATAACATTCAGAATATATTAAGAGCAAAAAAAGAGTTAGATATTTTATTCCAACCCAAAATTTCTAAAGATATAACTACTACAATTTCAGTTTAAAGAAATCTTTCAATACTCCCAAACCCCAAGTTATTCTGGTTCTTAAATGCCTCTACACCTTACAAGCAGTCATAGCAACTGTGGTTTAAAAATAACCTATTCTATTCTTTCAAGTCTACTTAAGCAATGCAACAGAAAGCCCTACAAGTATGTATTGTTGTGAAAATGATACAATGGTAATTTTTTTTCATACTTTGCATTCACATTTTCTGTCTTCAGGGAAAGAAAAACACAAAAACAGGCCCACTCAGTGTTACCAACAAAACTAAAAAAAAACCAACCCACCAAAAAAATCAGCCTGGAGAAATTTAGTTCACGCCTTGTCCATTATTCAGCAGCCTCAAGACATGACTTAAGACATAACTTGTCATGTCTCAAGTACACCAATCTAAATTCAAAGTCTCATTTTGAAGACTTCTGAGATCAGAAGCTGATTATGCAGTTTGCATTTCATATGCAAGGGCAACAATTCAAACAAACAATATTTTGCATGCATTCAAAGAGAGCTATGTGACTAAGACTAACACCTTCTGAAGCTGATAGAAGTTATCTCTCCCAAACTCAGAGATAAGCCCCTATCTTGCAAATGCAACATGAAATACCTGTAATTCAAAATGTCTATTCAACTCCATTAAAATGCTCTGTTGTGTCTCAGGAATTATTCTATATGCATGGAGGACCCAAACAAATTGTCTGTTCACTAAGCTCCATCCTCAATCCTTTAAGAACTGTTTTCTAACATAGGAAGGTGAAACAAAAAAAACAGACTAAAACTTCATTCTTACACTTAGATAAAGCTTACAAAGGTCAAAGAGATATTCAGTATCTGAAAAAGCAACAAATGTAAAGTACAGTGCAAACATTGCTCATCCCCACTGCAATTGTTCATAGAAACTTTAACTACTTAAAAATAAATAGTAGTGTTATAGCTCAGCAGTACATCATGTTACTTGTCCTTGTGATTAAAACATACAATAAAAATTTAGCTCAGGGTAAGAACAGAAAAAACAAAAGTAAGGCAAATCAGCTGGGTCCTTTCTATTTGCCCTCCCCTCATCTCTTTTTCAGATTTTCCCACTTTCTAAAAATCAAGTTCTCCCATCCTTTCCAGATTCTGCCCATAATTCACTACATGTTCTATAAATCCTGTTGCAAATATCAACCATTTGATAGGAAGGACATTTGAAAGTGTAATTCATGCCACTGATTTGGTAGAGGCAAAGCTGAATCTCTCAGTCTCTAGTGAAAAAGTTAAAATACTTCAATCCTTCACACCAATGATTAGATAGATAGAACTGCAAAATAATTTCAACAGTGTAATTTTAGGAACACTGATGGCATTTCAAGTACTTAATCACAACACTTGTTTCTTCCCTTATGTTCACATAGACTTTTTCTGAACACCTTAAAGGTCATTCTTATTTATTGGAGTTTTGTTGGTTTTGTCTGTTTGAAAACTCCTAAGGTGCATACCCTTTGAGGGATAACATTAACTTACAAAATCAGACATTTAAATTTTGCTTTAGCAAGGTAGTATTAGCATTTCCAATTGACAAATTCATAAATTAAAATATAGAAAAGAATTTTATTCAACCTTAGAAAAATCTCTTATTCCTTATTAAACATGAGAGAAGTACTCCATTAATCAAGAATCCTCGGTGGCTTCGAAAAGAAACTTAGCTGAGAAACAATGAAAACGCATCTTCCTAAGCCAAAAAATGTCAGAATCTGTACTAATAAACCAACATGTTATATAAAAGCAATTCGACGTGGAAATCATTAAAGTACTGTTCAAAAGTAGTCAGACTGAGATTCTGCCTGATACTGAAGTCAAACGAATATATCTTTGGGTTTTTTCCACTACTGCAAGTAAGAAATTTTAAATATATCATCTTTATAGCAGCCCATTAAACCAGCAACCACTTGTCACTAGCAACTTCAATTTGATTATTTGAGTCTCAGAAGTTTAATCTATAACATTCTGAAGTTTGTACCACTATACTGGAAACTTGAAACATGTTAAATGTTTCCTCTTCTATGTGCAGATTGAAGTCATACATCCTTCTAAGAAATGTAAACTCTTTACCTCTGTTAACAGCAGAAGTCAATGAAGAAATGTTCCCTGACTAAATGCAATCATTTTGAGAGAATTATGGGTTTGACATAGATCTCCAAAAGCATTTTCTAAACAGACCAATTGTTTTAGAGCTATGATTTTCCTAGAATTTTCTACAGACTTTTTAAATTATAAAGCAGGGTCTAGGGCTTCTGTTCAATCTTAAAATTTATTGTTTATAAAATTAGAAACATTCTACACTATACAAACACATTGGATATGCATATATACACACACCTCTTAAATGTGCATAACTAGTACGTTTCCTCTGAAATTATTTGTATAAAGCAGCTTTATTAAGTCTTTAAGAATCATTTGCCCTCTTAAATATTCTTCATAGAACAGATTCCAGAATTGTTTGGTTTATTCATAACTTGTAGCTGACATTCTGCAACTGAAATATGTGATATTCAAGAGGTTACAGCAACTACTGATCCGTCAGAAGGAATATTAGGTTTGCTGCTTATACCAAGTCTCTGAAGTACTAGCCAAGAACACTGCAATGACTTTACTAACATACGATTCAGAAATCAGTGAGTGATAAGTACGTTGTATGTTTCAATTAAAAAATAAAGCAAGATGCATATGTGAATCTGAAAGTTATTTAATATTAAGGTTCCTACAATTCTGAGCATCCTGCTTTTCATCACTAACAGTTGACACTATCAACTATTACTAGTGTAAATTAAAAAAAAGAAAAAGCATGTATTCATAAAAGAATCGTAGCAACTATACAAGTTCAAAGAGTATCACTTGAGGCACACTAAGACTATAAGTAAACAAAGGAGCAAAACCAGTCTAATGCTTTGCTACTGCTGGCAGGAGCAGTCCTGCTCACCTCCTTCCTTCTGGGCCTCCAGTTCCCCTTGCTAAGGTCACATAGTTCCTCCCCACTCCCGAGCCAGATCTGGTACTTATCTGATGCCCATTAAGCTGATGGTAGGACACCTTCCTGAATTTGTATTTTTTTTAAAAAAAGTTTCAGATGAATGAATTATCACCCCACATAAATAACTCCATGCAAGCTTAGCAACTGCCAGAGGTGACCTGGAAAGTATCAAGTATGACATGGCTCTGGGGTGATGGTTAAGGGCTTGAGGGCCCAGGTGGTTTTCCTCCTTAATCCTGCGGAGGAAGGGGAAGGGCTTGAGGAAGACTGGATGTATCCTGTGGGCCAACAATTGGTTGCACAGCAGGTATCCGCAACAGAGCTTGGTCTTGTGACCATCTTTGAGGATTGACAGCTGTTTGGAAGAGACAGGATCCCCTGACTAAATACAGCAAAAGTATCTTTGCCAACAGGCTTGCCAACTCAGTAAGAGCAACTTTAAGCTAGGAATGACAGGGGAGGGATTTTACATCAAGTGAGGGAGTGGTAGATGGGGTAGGCAAGAAAAGTGCCCCAGGACGATGTGAACCAAAGGGACACAGTAATCAACAAAACAGGGCTGAAGTGAAATCTTCTCAAGCACAGGAATCCAAGTAAGAAAGTACCCATGGAACAGCAGCCTTATGGAGAAAGCTCTCATGGCCTTTTTAAGTGCCTCTCTGAAATGCCCCTAAAGTAATGCATACACTACAGGGAAAAACAGGAGGAACTGGAAGTCCATGTGCAGTAATAGGGCTACGATCTCATTGGGATCAGAGATATAGTAGGCTAGCTCACATGACTGAAGTGCTAAGATGGATGCATTAGGCCCTTTAGGAAGGGCAGGCCAGGATGGTGATGGGAATTTGCCCTTTTTAGCAAGAATGCATGGAGTTCTGCCTGGGGACAGGTGATGAGCCAGTCAAGAGATTATGGGTCAGGATTAGTGAGCAGACCAATATGAGTGTCTGCCATAGGCCACCTGATCAAGAAGATGTAGATGAGGCACTCTTCAGACAACTGGCAGAAGCCTCACATGTGGTGACTCTGGTCCTCATGGGGGACTTGAACCACTGTAATATCTGTAAGGAGGACAACAGCAGGGAAAAAAAATCTAGGAGGTTTCTGTAACACACTGACAAAAACTTCCCAACTCAGATGACTGATGAGCCAAAGAGGAGAGGTGCTTTGCTGGACCTGATACTTACAGGCAGGGAAGGATGTGAAGGTTGGGGTACAGCCTTGACTACAGTGACTATGAGATGGTCAGGAAGATGATCAGGATAAGTTCAGGAGCATAAGAGGAATGAGCAGGGCATAAAACACAACCACAGCCCCAGACTTTAGGAGAGCAGACATTAGCCTCTTCAGGGATCTGCCTAGAAGAATCTATTGGGATACGGCCCTGAAGAGAAAAGGGATCCAAGAGAGCTGGTTAAATCTTCGAGGATCACCTCCAAGTTCAAGAACAGTCTATCCTAACAAGCAGAGAGTCAAGCAAAGGCAAGCAGCAAGACACCTACAAGGATAAACAAGGCGCTCCTGACTACACTGACATAAAAATAAAGCACAGAAGAGGTGGAAGCAGGTGCAGGTGACCTCAGAGGAATATAGAGATACTATATAATCATTCAGAGATGGGGTTAGGAAAGCAATAGCCCAGCTGAGTTGGATCTGGCAAGGGATGTAGAAGGCAA